TAGCTCCAGCATTTTGTCGTCGCCAATTAAACGACGCTACGCCGCACTCAATTCATTGAATTGTTTGAATGTACGAAACTAGAAATGCACCGGATACTGGATGTACCACTGTACTCCAGAATGCCTACGTAGCAATCGATTGAACTAACTATATCCATTTGCTATATGGGATAGATGACACATACGAGGCCGACGCACAAATGACACGGAAGAGCACACGGAGTGAGGTTCTCTGCTTCGTTCCCTGTCTTTGTTACTAGCGGAGCAAAGCACGTCAGGACAATTGACTTTTCATTAACGCGTCAATGAACAGGAAGGACGACAATTTGAAACAGATTCAAACTGAAGTTAACGAAGAACTTGGCAGAAACGACGCCGACGATAGCGAAGCTCGCGATCGTGCCCAATTGATGGAGTGATATCAAAGCTGAAGACGAAACGCAATAGAGGATAGAATGGTTTACCGAGGACGAACGAAGTGTTCTGCTAGATAACAGACGATCGTCAGTGGAACGCGTGCGCTTCTGTAGGCACAAACAGGACAAATAGAAAAAACAATGAATGCATTCATCCATTCAACTACGGGGTGGATATAGAGGCGGTAGCCTGCGAACCGAATGAAAAATCGATAATCAAAAGCTGTCTCTAAGCCCTTTGCCATTTCGTTCATGCAAAGAGGACTCCGACTACAGCGGCCAAACGATGCTAGAGCAACAGGACAATCCTGTTCGATGATAGTACTGTTATTTTGTAGGTCACGGATTTGGGCCGCGGCAATGACATGGTCACTGATTGAGTGAGAAGAAAATTCGCCGTTTTGGAGAAGACGAAAAATTCAGTAACGGTATTAAGCGTTCAGGATGTCTGAGGCGCCGAAATCAGAGAAGATCGGGAGCGTGAGAAAGCGGTTAAACAAGAGGGAGCAATAAAAAATAAATAATGATCTGGTAGAACTGCTGTGCTGCGACGTAGGAGCGTACAATGGTCACGCGATAAGATTTATTTATATATATATATATATATATCAATCATATGACTGAACAGGCAACAGTTAATCAAAGGCAGTAGAGCGCTCCTCGGGCTTTCCCTTTGACTGTTTGCCAGCGGGACGGGTGGTGACACATGGGCCTTTGAAATTCAGGTTTGAAACTTTGAACTTCGAAATCGGAGCTGCTGTTCAGCGATGGTTGAGTGACGCGGCGACGGAGGACGGATTCTTTCATTGGACACAAAGTCGGGTACAGGAACGATGTTAAACCATCGACGTACGCAGAACTACGATGATTGAACGTACTATGCCGCTTATCGTGACTTTGCTCTTAAATACAAAGTAATTAAAACGGTTGGTTACAAATAAAATGTGGACGTAGTTGCTCGATACGGTGTTGTACGGTGTAGATCTGTTATGTACACCAATTATACTGACATGGCGTATAACATGCACACCGAAAAATAGCTTTCTAAAAAAAAAAGTAAAAGAAAGTGGTAAGATTTGGTTAAGAATAGCCACGAAACGAAACGTAGAGATAGAATATATCTATTCATGTACAAGGCGGTCTGTAGCATACTTTGAATTGAAATTACGTCCGAGTATCGTTCCAACACGACGACATACCATATGCCGAAACCGACCAAATCACATAACACAACATCTTCTGTGCGTACGGAAATTTCCTCGTTGTTAACGTAACTGTATCATTTTTTTTTTTTTTTTTTTCTGTAAACGCACTTGGAGGGACTGGTGCCTGGGTACGTCGAATCACTTTTGAGCTAAAGATATCAGGCCCATTTTTTTTCGGATTCCAGCAAGACAGGGAGATGCTATGTCAGCAACGATCTTACTCGTAATGACTTCCGCGCTATAGTAGGCAAAAAGAAGCAGATCTTCAAAACATACTCAGAAGGGTCATTTAAAAATTGATAGTTATCAGAAAAAAAAGGTACTTCTTTCTTCTCATAACTCTAGAGGAATGACGCTTATTCAGCTCGCAGCTAGCTGACTCTCGTCAAACAGTACGGACAAACGGCCATCTTCACAGTGGTTGCTTCGCCAGCGCTTGCTGGCGACTGATTCTTTTCTATTCTCCTAGCACTACAAAGACGAACGGGAGAGGTTTTCTTTTGATGAAGTATTCAAAAACGGGTCTCTGCGTAGGACAGCTCCTAGCGCACACAGGCGCACATAGCACGCATGGCAGTACTATTGCAAAAAAAAAAATATGAGTCCGTCCAACATTCATTCATTCATTCATTCATTCATTGACCTGTGGAAACAAGTTATTTTTTTTTCTGCTTTCTTTTCTTCCCTCTTCTACACGTTTTTTGCAACTTGCAAACGAACTCGCTTATTTCAGTTTTTCCTATTCTGTAGCAAAATTAGCTTTGCAACGGACACATAGGCAGTTATTGCTACTTGCCCAATGCCTGACTGCTCCCACAATCTGACAGTCCGTCTTCATTTTGACTCTTTCTCTATTTTTGTCCCTTCTTTCAAATCTGAAATTATTCTATAGTATTTTTTGCTTACATGGGCTACTCATTTCGTATCCTGTGCCTGCCCGTGTAGACACAAGTTGGTGTGTGCGCGAAACTGCCCAACACGTATTTCCGTGCCCATGTGAATAAGCGTAAAAGACGCCGTAGCTTCCGCGGGGCAATCCAACCGTTCTGCAGTTGTATCGTCATCGTCGTAGGCTGTGATGAATCAAGCAAAAACAGATGTACTTAGCTCTGCCAGTGGGAAAGAAGCAAGCAGTCACCCACCAACCAACCAACCAACACGGAGTGTTTTAAAAGTAGCCCAGCTGTTCGTTACAATTGAACGACCACAAGCTCCAGCCTGAAGTCGAAGCGGAAGAAGTCCAATGGCAACAGCGGCAACAATTGTACCAATCGGGAGATTATAGCGTCACCAAAGGTTTGCGACTGCAGATAGCTCTGACAACCATCAACGGCGGTAACTACAGTGGTTTTTGCACAGAAGTTACTTCACCGGCCGTTCACCCGAAGAGCTACACGTATTCCGAGACCTTTTTTCGAACCAACGCAAAAGCCAACTTTGGCCGAGGAACGAATAAACGAAACGATCCTGCCGAATGCCGACACCTCCTATAGGAGCAAAAAGTTCCGTTACAGATGGACAGACGCGTAGCTGAGTAACCTTCAGTTGATGAAGCACGTGCCCCTGCTCGAAACATTGAAAAGGAAAATAGAATACGGATGGGCAGAATCGGCATACCGAGGCCAGAAGATCCTGAAGAAGCATAGCCCATAGTATGTCCGAGTATATCTTCAAGGAAAGTTTTGTTGGTCAACAGAATTTTTCGTGTATTGATAAGCAATGACATTGGACAGCACCGATGGAATGGACCGATTCGATATCCAGTAGAGACCTTGTATTAGTATTTACGTTGCATTGTTATCCTACCAAACCGTCTCTCTCGGTAAAATAGTCTTACCAATAAAGATTGGAAGAATTTATATGAGATGCACCGTTAAGTTGCGGAAGATACACAGTACACATCTAGCGAACCTATTCGTAAGGAACTTGATAGAAAAGAGATAATAGAGCTGGACGAAAAGCCGGTTATGCATTATATGGAGTTAGGTGGCTCGTTCAGCTGAGGCGAGAGAGATTTGCGAAGACATATGCGTGAGTATGTGTGTGCGTGTGTATATGTCAGCATCTATTCTATAATATATACTCCACATACCCTTTTTTGGCCGTCGGCTTCTAAAGGTAAACAGAGTTTGGTGTCGATCTGGCTGGCAAGAAGATCGCGGGGAGATGCGACCACGTCAGGCAATTTATTTCCAAATAACCTTGTCCGAAGACACATGCACCTTTTATTAAAGCGGACTTCAATATACTACACCGCTGAAGTTCCCGCAGGATCGACAGCGTGAAAGTGTTGATCATTGATCACCCCTAACCGTTTCAATCCGCCGATCACCACCGTATGGTGCGATCACAAATTTGTTGGCTCGAACAAGGCCATCATCACTCGACCTGCTAGGCGACTCGAAAGTCGGCCGTGTGTCTTCAGCAAACAGACGCAAAGTGTAGAAAAGACACGAAGAAAGCCTCATGGCTTCAAAGTAGTCGCTTGTCAACAGAATTATAAGGGTGCTCCTAAATGAACATGAATATCGTTGAATTCTGTCTGTGGCTTCGTCATGAGCCAGCCCAGCAACGTCGATGGAGCTTCTGTTTGATGACAACACGATCAGCCTTGGCTCGACAAGTGTAAACTTTTTCCCTGTCTTATTCGTGTTAAAAGGAGTTTTTTAGGTAGAGTAATGAACTCCTCACCTTAAAGAGAAGGTTTTGCTTATGAGAAGAATCATTTAACGGCAAGATTTGCTCTTTAACCAACCCTACCGAGTTTCCCCGAGTGTAATATAACCACTGTAAGAGAATGTAAGAGTTTCTCAGCTAATAGGCGGAAACGGGAGCCTTTCCGAAAATAAATGAAGCCCCAAAAAGACAGTGGTTAGCTGTTACCACTATTCTACGAATCACACTTTGATCCATTAATAAAGTAATAAAGATCCATAAAAAAAATGCGTCGATAACAAAAACTAATTTAATTTATGTATTACTGTGTGCCGATTTCAAGAGAGCTGTTGATTCTACCTAACCTAGACAACATATTTTCATGCAAACACGCCCTAACTCTGAGTTAGAAATATTCACGATTGCCTTTACTTGTCAATATACTAAAACAAGAAGTTGGCCTTTACCTATGCCATAGGTAGGCCGGCTATAATCGTTGAATTTGATTACGTTTGCTACCAAATCGAATTGGGCGAAACACGATGAAGACTATGAACGTTTTTGTACTATTTATTAGAGTTAAGATAAAAAGAGAGAAAAATATACGAGAAGGTATCTGCACTAGTCCTACTCTAGACGACAGCTAAATAATAAAGAACAATTTTTTTTATTTGAAGTCCTCACATGAAGGAACATTTATTGTTTTCATTATCATTATTATATTACTTTATAATAAGTTATGGTTTTCTTTTAATATCTATGCCTTGGTTTGACATTTACAAAAAAGTTCATATAATAAATACTTTAAGGCACTATTGCAACTGGAACAATATGTACAATGTCTTGTCATCCTTCCTTGTTGTGCTCAAATGACCGTCACAGTGAACAGGACACGGGCTTTTCACGGGAGCTTTTAAGAGCCTTGAGAAATTCTGTGTTTCTTCAATCCTTGAGAAGACTCTCATAAGGGAGGAAGATCACTTGGTAGTTTTAGTTCTTCGTCTCGGCTTTGAACTAATATCGACGATTCGATTTGGTACGTTGACTAGTTTCGTCGGCAGGACACATCCTAGCTCATAGTGCGGTAGAGCTCCATCGTCCTCAGCTGCTGAAACTGGTTGAGCTGTGACGCCGTAATGTGCAGTACGGTGGCGCAGGCGACGGCAAAGATACAGAGGATAGCACAGAGGAAGATCCAGAAGGCGTAGTCCTTGCGAGGAGCCAAAAAACTCGAGGCGGGTTCGGGTTTGCCGACCTCGATGCGAATCGGTACGTACAGCCCCATTTCAAGTAGGTCGGTCTGGTCGCGGCCTGATATCGTTGGTAAGACCACCGGACTGAGCGGGGCCTTTGGGCTAGTCGGCGTTGGTGGGACACTGATGAATGTATCGTCGAGATTGTCCATCTTCGAATAGGAAGGTAGGTTGTGAGGTGCAATCTTGGCGAACATTGTGGGTAGTTAGTGATCAGCTGTTTTGAAGTGAGCTGATCAGTAAAACGGCTGGTCGTAGGTGTATCCCAAAAAGAACGAGCTTCAACGGAGTCGGTAAGGTAGTATCCAAGGTTGTGCACTGAGCTCGCAGAATGGCTCAAGGCGATCGAGGTTTGCCTGAGATGCAATGATTGTCGGTGTCCAGTTCGCTCGGCTTTTATGGCTCTCATCAGGCGAGGTACCGGAGGAGGCGGAGCCAGTGAGTTACCCACTGAGTGGGTGAGGAGGAAGTTGAGGCTGCAACTGAAGCGCTCGCTGAACCACCTCAGCAAGGCTGAGGGAGCTGCCTGAGAAACAGGGGTTGCGTTTCGAACCGCGCGCTAGCATGCTGCCGTACCAGACACTAACATCGAATGCTACTACCTACCGCCTGCTACGACCTGATGTCGGGTGTCGGAGCTAAAGGCGATTCTACCCCACCTAGCCTCCTGCCAGTACAACTTGGCTCAGGTCTTCGTACCCGGCCGAGAGGACAACAGGCCGGTCGTCCTACATGAAGGTGAAGTGAGGAGTACTCGTCGTCCTATGCCGATCGGATCTGGCTGCTCCGGGCCTGGGACCGAGTCTGAGAGCTTCGCGACGCGTGCGTTCCCACGCGATGAGGAGTAGATCTTCTTTGTCTGGCTCGAGCAGATTGAGCGACACATTTTCGAGACTCTGGGGACTTCGCGACGTGGTTTCGTTGACAGTGATGCGGGTGCAAGGCTGCAACTCATAAGCTAGTTAACAGCGAGGTTCCATGGTTTGTGACACGTACTGGCAAATCTTTTGTCACGCATAACAAAAGATACGGATGAGCAGTATCGTTACCATAACTGTCGTTTACGTATCTGCTCTTAAAAACGCTTCCAGAAACACTCCATGCTTTAGAGAGTAAGCTTTGTTATTGTAATTTTTCATGCGCTTCTTCAAACAGGTATTTGCATCCTTGCGCAACTCGTCCATGAAGTATCTTTGCTGCATGCGTTCGTAAACACTGGACACAAATGTCGGTTAGCTGTGTCTCTCGGCATCGTCGATCGTGGGAACGGGTCCGCTGACCTCCTCAGAACACTTACTTGATTACAGTCCATCCACAACCATTACGACGTCTCAGGCAGAATTAAAATGGAGGTGCAGGGGGCGGCTGAGGTTGTCGCTACTGCGGGCGCTGTTGTGGTGGCTATCGCATGGACTGTGTGTGCCCCAATTGTGCCTGCAAGTCGTCCAATAGGTAGATATGCAGGCCGGCCGACAACAGCATTGTGTTCTAACCAGGACCACAAATCTGCTCTCGCTATTCTTTGCTGAGCATCGGACTGCAGTTGTTGCCTATGGCGGCCGCGCCAGGCACCGTCGAATCGAAGATGAAGGAATAGTTTCTGCCTAAAGACATAGTTACCTGAACAGCAGTGGCCGACTAGGTCGACCCGGTAGTCAGGTGGCGAGTGGCGAGCACGAGGCAGCAGCCACCGTAGACAGCTACGAACAAGAATGACAGCAAACACAAGTGGCTATGATGGTGGCGAAGGAAGCCAGGAAAAGAGAAGAGGCAAAGTGCTGTGTGCCAGCCGGCAGACGAAACCATGTACAGGCCAGTCGATAGGCCGGTTCGGGTCGCTTGCGCGCGGCCGCCAGGCTCGTGGAGTTCACGAGCAGGCACAGATACGGGACCAAGAATGGAACGGTCGGCCAAACACTTCACAGCCAACGACGGCAACGCCGCGACTGCAGCAGACACGCAAAGTTAGAGACCAGCCAAGGCCGAGAGCAGATAAAGAACGCATCAAAGAGAAGAAAAATACGGAGAGGAAACGCTGGACAAGCGGCACAATAGCGAGAGAAATATGGTAGTAGCAGAAGTAGCGGCAGGCCCAACAGTTGGACGGACGGCCACAACGACCCTAAGCATTATGATTAAGGTAATTCAGCGATTGACAGAAGAAACGGTTGGAGTGAGACGCGTGGGAAACACGCGTACATCTCGAGAGCTGAAAAGCCTCAAAGGATTTGTGCCATCCGCTTCTGGCTGATTTAAGCACGGCACCAGACAAAAGGTGGATAACAGGCTAACTGATCGTTGCAAGTTTTTGCTGCTTCTACCGGTTGAAGATTGGAATAATTTGGTTGGTTTGGGGGGCATGCGGGACGAGTTCGTCCAGTCATAGATTTGCTGGCCTTCTATTTGAATGAAGTTTAACTTAGGACCGGGCCGTTGCTGCTGAAACGTAGGATTTCAGCCTTTGCGAATAATTAGAAAAAAAGTGGTTATAATGTGGTCAAAATCTACACCGCATATCGTTTTTTAATATGGAAGCAAATCTTCAGCCTGAAAACATGGATCTTGGCTAATTTCTCCTTCCTGTCTTTTCTGACAGAGTCTGTAAGAAAAACAGCCAAATTAGTACAAACAGAAACATTTCGGAAAAACGCAGTGTTTGTTTGTTTGTTTGTTTATATAGCGGGACAATTAGGCAATAGTCGTTATCAAAGAGTGTTGGTGTAGCCAACTGTAGGACAAATAAAAGGCTACAAAGAAAGGGGTTTACCAAAATACAAATAAAGGAGTATTTCATCTCTTGTACGTGCTTCACGTTCATTCGTGGTAAATTTTTTGTCAATATATTTCGGGGTTGTCAAGCACAAGGTTCCACGAGCTTATTGTAAACTCTCACTGGGTTCGCCGCAATATCCTTAGCGACTTTTTGATATTTGAAAAATATGACCTAACGTAACTGGTCTCACCGCCGTAATTTGAACGTAAAGCGCTAATCAGTAATACGTGTGGTTGGCCGTTACTGAACTAAATGCGTTTGAAACTATTACATGTAGCCATATAAGTTGTATATTTATAAGCATTATCTTACTCGATAGGGCTTTAATCGTGCTCGTAACAGGATTAAAGATACATACGCGTTCCATTGCACCCTGTGCACGATACGCTGCTGAGTCTTTAGGTCATGTTATTGCGTCCAGAATACGTATAGATTGAGTCAACTTGACCTTGAAGGTCAACGCCGCGAGCTGGCAACTCGAGAGACCCCAGATCAGTTCATGTACAAACATATCATGGACTCTGACCTTTGGGCGCTAGAATAACGCGCTTCGGATTGTCGTGTGGTCACTCGTCCTCTTCATATATTGGTCACGGGGTTGCCGCCGTCATGAAGGCCGCAATAAATTTCATTAAATTTCACGCGGCGGAAGTCTGAGAGGACCCTACGATTACTCTGTTAGGATAGAAAGTTTTGCGGACCCGACTATCAGCTGATTATGCTGAATCTGGATATTGTTTATTGCTGCTGGCAGATTCGATGGCAGATCGACGCAATCGCACGACGAGCAAAGCTGTTTCTTTCAAGGACTTCAAAAACCTTTACAATTGTCCTACAGGCCCAAAGTATTACAAGAGGTCTACTTGAGCGGACAGCCATAGCTTTTTTGCCGGCTGTAAATCTTGGTAGAACCACTAGAGTCTGCGTGGATACCATACTAAGCAGTTTGTGCTTGATCTCACAAGTTCATTGGACGTTGTAAACCACCGCTAAGGCACCAGTGTTAATATTGTAATCAATGACGTTTGCGACCGCAATTGATTAGAAAGTAAATAATACAATTACGTACTGCTATACACTAGGAGACGACATGGCACGGAAGGCCGTTACTCAAAACAGTTAAGGTCAATTAGTTTAGCAGAACGACGGGGCGAATTCGATAAACGACAAGGGGCTGGTTATACTTTCTGTAATATGAAAGTAACTTTGTCATCAGCAGGAACGTGTATATATATACATTGTTACACATATTGATCTTGCCAAATCGAAGATGATTATATCAAGCTTTGGCACTTAATCGCTACCATATTCGTTGGACGTTGGCACAATTCGTCGAACTCAATGCCCTTATCTCGACCACTTGTGTACCTAAGCGATATTAGAAAGGCAGCCGATACGCTTTCTCGAAAAGCTCGTATAGTTGTCACTGCACGCTACTTTACTACGCTTGCAAAGGTGGCGCGACACAACCTCGTACCCGTGAAAGTGTTATGGCGTGGTAAGTTTGCGAGTGTCTACTGACATCTGTCGATTTCGATCTTCGTTTGCCTGCTACGTAGCCAAAATGCAACAACTGTGACAGCCAACCCAATATCCAGCGCTGGGCAATGTCGCTGTAATTTTGGGTGTGCAACGTTCCCACGGGTTGTGTCGGGCTTGCATGGCTATGTGTGGGAGAGCTCATCCACGGTGAATTTCCATACGCGAACCAAGGGACTGCTGCGCCTGCATGCGCCAGATAGTGTCGTGTATAAGGTTCATTTCAACCTGCATCCCAACGAACGAGCTTCGCGACGTCATACCTCAGTCGACTACTACAGTAGAGGCTAACAACGAACTTGTACGGGCTCCTTTTACATCATCGTAGCGACATAATGCGAAGCCGAGGGCACATACATATCTCATCGAGGGCACTATTAAGGTTTTTCGGTAAAGTGCGGCGCGTCTCCGAAGAAGCCTAGATGCAAGCGTCCTTTGTTTGTTTGACTGCTGTCTTCGAGGCTTTCAATACAATTTACGTAATACTCTCATAATACTAGCTAATAATACTAGACCTGAGATAGTCTTAATAGTTTTGCCTTCGAGTGGCTGAGTATACGTTCTCGGTAGTAATAGCCTGTCAAGCTGACCCTGAACCGCCGCTTAAGGCTTGCAGTAGAAATCAAATTAACTTAGAGCGTTCGCCCTCGCCTGCTATCCGCCCGGCCTGAGGTAATCGCGGCTGTAATCAAGTTTGTGGCGGTGGCTTTGGCATCCACCTTTCGAGAGGCGGACAGCCGCGATGAAGCATGTGATACTGCCAGCCGCTATCAGTGCTACTAAAATACTTGTACTACTAGTAAAGCCAGGTTGACAACGAATTCGAGACAAGGCTATGATATTGATAGCGGGTGTTTCTGCTGTATAGAATTTAGAAGAGGGATGCCAGCCCAGCTTGCGGGCATACGGTGCTGCTCTACATGGGGTACATGGGGTTCATTTGGAAGGGGGCGACCGGCTGGAGCGTCGGCACAATTGAATTATACTGGACACGTGCTTGCAAGAGTTCGTACCCCCTTTCGCGAGACTTGAACTACTGGCAACACAGTTCACTAGATTTTGCAGTTGCGAAGGATGACAATTCAGTGGGGTGCGGGGTAAACGGACAAACGAATTTTTATTCATTTTACTCTAATCAAATTATCTTCATACCAGCTCATTGTTAACGCGACGAGATTCAGACGCTGTATGCGTTGTATTGATGATAAGCATATATCAAGCATGGCGTAGTTACTGTAGCTGGCATTTATCTGTAATATATATATGCAGTATACGATGAACATTTAGTCCATGGCAATGCCGATTGACGGATGTTCGTAGGGTGCTTTAGCCCAATCATTCAAGCCATCATACTGAAAGTCATCGTGAGCGCAGCTGTTTGTTATAGTACACATAGACATGGCAGTAACATCTCTACATAAGGTGCACTTTCTTTTTTTTTTTTCTAATTTCAGGTAAGGCTGTCCGGCCACCAATAGGTTACCTATATTAACTCATAGATTGATACGGATGTTTGAAACATGCAAAACATAAAACGCCTGCTCAATGGTTTCCCTACACGGGTCAATAATCTTCTTTGACACCACTAGCTACGATGTTCGGCCAGCGAGTAGAACTTGGAAAGTTCACGACAATTCAACCACTCTACAAGCCAGTGAGTAAAGCTGCTCCGTCAACACGAGCAGCGTCGTTCTTTCGGCTGCCGATGAGAAGGCGCTTCTGATAGTCTATTTTCGAATTGAGTTCCCATGCGTCAGTGCATGGAGACCTCGGATTTCAGGTGCGCGCTTGCCTTTGATCAACTGGAGGATCCACGAGCCCTAGTAACAGCAGAGCGTAAACAGGAAATGGTAGTGCAACAAACCTTGACAATACCACCGTGTTCTATGTCGCAGTACGTGTTATTGTTTGAGGTCGGCAACCTGCATCGCGCTGATGATCACAGCTTGTCTGGCTGATGATGCTGCTCTCGATGCTCGCTCATGAACAACTTCTGCTTCTAGTTCACAAACGGCGGCGCAAGGTCCGCGTGCGCCAGGCTGCCGAACTTCTACTTCGTGCCTTAATTCTGGTTGAATGCAATAGGTAAGAAGTGCACACTTCTGGCAGAAGGTGCCCGCCTTAGCGCTGTCTTAACCCAGATTCGTGACCTGCTCAGCAGGCGCAGGTTGGTGCAGGCGTAGGTTCTATCAGTCTCTGCCACCTGGCAACAAGTAGCTCAGATACCGCGGCAAATGCCAGCATCAGAGCGAGCGACCTCTTCTGCTTCTTTTACTGTCGTTTGTCCTATTCTGTCCGACTTGAACAACTGCGCCGCACCTTCCAGGTTTCCTATTTTCAGCTCAGACATGAACCTCAGCTCTGGTTATGACCTTCGTGCTAGGTCGAAGCCTTGCTATTCGTCTGTTCTTCGAGGGCATTTAACCTCTGGTACATCTACCTGAATAACGATACATGCACACACGTTCGGCTGATTCCGCTGGCTAGCCTATGTAGTGAATGTCTACAGGTTAGAGGAACGCAAAAGGGCACAGCAGTCGAATATACCGAAGTTCAATTTCGAACTGCTAAAGAAGAACGAGAGCAGTGACACCTGGATCAGATCTACTTCGACCTAGAGTCAAATTATCCCAGTACAGCTTTTTCTTCCTAGCGATGCTGAAACACGTTCCCGACGAAATCCTCTTAGGCTACGACGAGGATATCTTCCTCTATGCGTTGCGTACAATAACACGGAAGTATAGCTTCTATCCGTCGCAGATGTTATAGGAAGTGAAACCGTTGACGGGCTGGCTAACCGGCGGAGAAAGTCATCCTCCAATAAGTTGCGCTTCGATTTCGGGCTCGACTATCGTAGCAATCGGCGCCGAAGCTGGCGACTTTGTAAACGATGCCGTCATTTCTTAAAACCTTAACTTAAGGCCTTTCGGCACACTTAAGAATGCTAGCCATTATCTATTCGTTTGGCTTTAGGCCTTCTCGTATCGGTCGGCTGGCAACACAAGACGGGAGGTGTAAGGACGAATGCCCACCACGTTGCTGACTGCGGTTGCTGCGGTGGCTGAGCGTTCAGTAGGACTCGTTGATGGTCCCCCGGTGGTCGCTGCACCTGTGCTTACACAGCAGACATGGCTGGCTGTTTGAAAAACGAAGAAGTTCCGATTGGAAACGCCGGTCGGATGCGCAGGTAAAGTTGCCGAAGCTGACATGCTTCTTGAAGTCTTTCTGAGGTGTCGTTGTTGACGTTCCGCTTGTATACCCTACGAACAACAGGTGAATTTACATTGGCTATCGTTACCGGATAGGCCTGTGAGCTTAGAGCTGTCCCACCTATGAAATTTCACAACTCACGACATCAGCTTATTAGGATTATAGCATTCAAGTGAGGAAACAACTATTTGCAGTTAGCTAACGAAGCTTTCGTTCGCCTTCAATAGCGATGTTCTACGGAAATATTTCTAAAAGTATTCATATATTGGACCAGTTGTACTCACCGGTTTCACGCAATAACACCAGCATCGAATGGCTAGAATAGAAGGCGTTCTACGTACCTGGATTAAGTAAGCTCATTTGATACGACCGACGCTATTCGTAATGGGTGACGAGAGAGAGAGATCAGTTGCTCTGGCGGTGAGGATGTACAGGAAGAACGAAAGCGAATCAGGTTCTGCCTGATAGGCCTGGATCTGCAGAATGCCTGTGTAGCCGACGACCTATGTCTCCGCACGATCGAGGACTATTATATGTCGCGATCTTTGCAAAACATCAATAACCATATATTTCGTTTCGTAGACATGGGCAGCTAATAATGTTTGCTGCCAGGAGTTCCGTGAAAAACATTGCCGATGAAAATAACAGTTGTAGATATAGCTGTGCCATATATTGAACACAGACGGATGGGTGTGAATTGAAAACGATTAATATTAAATTGTGCTCGTATCTACGCCAGTATGTTCATAATAGTAGCGCTTTGAATTGCCGCTACTGCCGCGGTGGCATCGGAAGCTCGAGCCCGTCCCTTTGTCGATCTCGTCCGTGAGGCGAGTACCGAACGAACAATACAGACACCTATCACACCTTTGCCTATTCGCGGAATCCACTTGCGACGGACGGATTCGATTTTTGCAATTTTTTAGCTATTTCAAGCTTCGCGCCAACATTTTGAACAGTTGGCCCAATACGAATGGCTATAGCGCAAGCGCCTCCTATGGTCGTCCCATTGGACGTCGGTTTGCATGCGCCTAGGACGCTCACTTGCAGCAACGTTTGTCTATTATCGACCAGCCGTTGGCCTCTTGCCATGGTTCGGCTGGCGCATGAGATGAGTGCGAAGCTGTTGACGATTCCGGCGAACGCCTGTAGCTGACGCCAGCATTGTTACAGATCCTGCTGTTGTCTCAGAGTTGTCGATGCTATGTACTGCATCATCATATATACCCACATCGATGGTCATGATCATGCTGACCCTTATGGTTCTGGTGTTTGGGAGACACAGAAGAGGAGGTCTGTTGCCGGACAATCTGTCGCTTCTTGGAACACGCCCCGCAGGAACAAAGCAGTCAATACTCTGATTTGACCGACTGGCCGGCCATGCACAAGGAGCGTGAAAACGTACCAGTCCGCAGTATACCATTGCATGTTTCTGTACATCTAGATATAATGCGTAAAAATTAATGTCGGATGATTGCATTTTGTTATATATTGAGAATAAGTGACGTAGCTCCGCTTTTGGACCTCATCTATTCTGAAACTTACGGACTGTTCATGGGCAGTTGACCGACAGTCACGGCTGTCTCTGTCGATAGTGGCGCTAGCTGGGCTTTTGACCTCGATAGTAGCTAAAACGTTTTCGTCGCTTTATAGGCTGATCCGAACGATTTGCGGTAATCTAGTTCAACTTTGTCTAAACTTAGGAACAACTTCATCGTCTGGTAAAAACAAACGTCGCAGCTAGCAGTACAGTGCTGATACGACTAGTTGTCGACCTATCGATGACGCGGTCTTGCAACGGCCTGTAAACAAACGGTTGAAATTCTAACAGCTCTATGTTGTTAATCACGGAACGGATTTCTATTTTGTTCAAGTGTAAAAGTTCATTTCCTCATCTGAATAGAGGGCGCGAGACAGAAGTATCTAAAAGCATGAGATAACCACCCGCGTTCGAAGGTTGCTTCATACCAACGTAACGGTTGGGCGGTAGCCGCATCAGCCGGCATCGATCGGCATAAATTTAATTTCAATTAGATTTTACGATTGGCGCCTTTTCATTGTTTGACTCTCTCAAAATACCTTCGACCCGCGCCCACTACATAAACTACACACGCACTTCACTCACACGCAATGAACTGAAGCTCGAATTCTTCACCTTATCGTCGTCGTCCGGATAAAAGCCATGGCCCTCAGGCCTCCTTAATCAACCTCCGGCGGCCCGGATCCTGGATCTTCGGTCACACCGGGACATCGTCGTCTTCAATACGCGCAAGCCTCTATAGTATTATAACAACATGAAAAATCAAGAAAAAAAAGAAACTCGTAAAAACGTTTACCTCTTCGCTGAGCTATGCGCCTCTCTGCCTACGCGCTGCCTCGGGCAATACCGCTCGCTCGCTGTCTGTAGCTGTTAGTGATTTCTTGTTTTAGCAAGACTCCGTTGTATTGCGCCTACGAGATCGTACTACTGCCGCCGCCGCCGCCGTCGCTCTTACGATATACTCGGTGCATCGCGGAGCAGAGCCCTGTTTTTCTTTCGTCCGTTGGGCGCGCTCCGGAACAGCGTAGCATATGGCCAGAACCATTGCACTGGACTGCTGGCTGAAAAGAAGAATCCGCGTCAGACCTGGCTCTCCTAATAGCTAAAGTAGACCAAATGCAGACAGTATTTGCAGCGCCCGTAGCGACCGGCGAATGCGATATTTATTCCTCTGTAGGTTTGTTGCGTGTAGTGCATCAAAAGAGAAAAGGTACAAAAAAGGACCTTTGATGGTCGTCTATGTCTGTACGACCAGCTGTAGTTGTGATACTGCGATAAACGTGAGCATCAAAGCATCTAGAAACACATCCGAGTTCTGCTGCTTAGGTGCTTGATGCTGGCCTATTTGGCTTCGAAAGCAAGACAACAGATTGGATAACTCGAGAGGCGGCCACACAGACGAAACGGGCCGGCGACTAGGCCTAGACAGAACCGCCCTTTGAGGGACAACAGAAGTTTGACCTGACTACAAGCAATGCGAATCGTAGTGGACACCAAGTGGATGCAGAGCCGCCGAAAAGAAAACAACATTGAGAAGTTAGCGCCCTTGCACTGTGGCGCCTGGCAACGATGACCGTTCCGGTGAATTTGCGGACGAGGTCCCGTGAGCTCGCCAACTTCATTCTGCTGAATCGCGTTCAGCGAATTTCTGCGGACCCGAGGGGTTAAGCGCAACAGCGTACACGGATTTAAGTGGAGGCTGATCGATGTTGCGTGGTTTTCGAACAGATCGGCGTTTGCTTGGTTTGCTGCAGCTCTATCCGGCGGAGCATTTGTTAAAGTCAATCATGTTGATAGGGCGTACGGCAGATCGAGATAAAGTGGCGATGACGGTGGAGAAGGAAGACGAAGGGTCCGGGAGGGACTAACGCTCGATTTGATGGCGGGGGTTGCGCGAATGAAGCATTCCTCGTCGATGTCGACGTTCGCTGCTACTGAACAGGATGACAGATGTACTTGGCTTGTAATTGGCTTCTCATCACTCGACAATGGGTGATCGATGATGAAGATGACTCTCGAAGCGGTCGCGGCTTCCTCGGTGGCGGCGACAGCGGCAACGACCGTGCTGTTCGGTTGTATCCGCCAGAACTATTGCGCCGCCTAACCAGGCAAAATAGGCATTGAAAGAAGCAACTAACGGCGAAACCACAGCATCTCTCGCTAGACTGAGGCAAGTCTTCGATTAGCTTTTTTAGGTCGACCTATGTGCGTCCTATCTAGCCTAGATTTCTCGCGAGTCGTGCATGTAAGCGTACGCATACACTCGTACACGCATACCATCTATTTCCTCCAACTGCCAAAAGATGCCTGGACATGAACTGCTGTCTACGATGATGATGCACTTCAGGTAACAGCAAATTGATAAGACTTGAATGGGTTGTGGGTGTAAGGAGGTCAGACGGGTTCAATCAGACAGATATCGTCACTCCACCTCTACAACATACTCGACAACGGCCGCAGCTCTACGGGCAGCAGTAGCCCCATTTCCTTCATTTTGTCGAAAAACCCCATCCATTTCGGCGGAGGTTGGGTAATCAACTTGATATGACCAGTCTTCGAACATGAACAGAGTGATCGAACTTTTTTCGGCCGGACGAAGTCGCTAGTTGATTTGTCCCGGACTAGTTCTCATCTTTAGACAAGTTCACTTAAGTTCGAGCATTATATATGTTAGTTCATGCGTGTGCGGATACTAGCTACGTTCAACAGCCTGGCGGACGATTGGCTGTCATGCGACGTTGTGGTAGGGCAGCATTCTTGTATGACGAAGACTATTTCAAAGAAGCCCTATCCGTGTCATCGACAAAAGCGAACTTTGACAGGTAAGCCTTGCTTGGCAAATCTTCATTGAAGTTCCTCTTACGGAAGCAAACCGTTGACGAATACGGGATGAGCTAGTATGGACCGTATAGATCGAATAACCTATGACTGTTGGGCTGGGATACGCTTGATCTACATCTCGCTAGATGTCAGAACCATAAGTGACAACTCTCGGTTCCATTTGAATAAACGCTGAGTAAATCATACTGCTAATCAAAGCTGTGCTAAGTAATACTAGACAGAAAATTACGTTATGTGGTGCTGCCAAATCCATACGAGTGACCAATAGCGCTGCATATACATCTCTATCCGCGTCAGAATTCTTCTCGTTACGTATCCGAAGTACAAGGTTCCCCTGAGAGTGCAGAAGTCATGTTAAAAAAGCTCTGCATCGTGTCTATGACGTTTGTTGGCAGTTTTGCCAAAATTTTTATCAGATTGCAACCCTCAACAGAAAAACTGAGTATCTGATATAGTCGTCAGGTGTGTTCAGTTGGTTCAATTATTCAAATATGTCTGAATATGTTCTATCTTTTGGGTTTAGCGTCAGCTAACGCTGTTAGGCAATTCATCGGATGGCTGGCTCGCCCATTAATGTTCGACCCACATTTAAATTTAAAACACCGATAGAGCTAAATATATTAAGTCTAATACAATTTTGTTTATTCCTTTTTATCGGTTTCTAGTGGACCGAAATCTCTGGCGTTTCAGAGATGTCGAAGCAGCGATAAGCCTTACTGCTTCTGTTTCTTTTCTTCATTTCAAATTTGCAGGACTAGAGATGTGGAATTGAGATGACGGATCAGGCGCTACATATTCGGCTCTCCAAAATAGTAAATGTGTTCTAACTGGCAAAAAATACTATACCCTAATCCGCACACTAGATATTGCTAAATACTGTCTACACAGATTGTCTTTTTTAAACAGAGCCTTTTTTCGAGAAACAAAGAGTTGTCAGAAGTTGGCAGGAATACGCTTTGTCCGAGAGACCAGACGGCGCTAGTAAATATTTAAGCCTCGGCCGCTATACAGTCTATGAGAGAAGCAGACGACAGTGCTTCTGGTATACATGTGTCGCTCATAGTCTGAGACAAGCACTGCTTCGTGATTCTCAGATGTCGGCGTCACTCCTTGTTCGCTTTCGCCTTAACATCGTCAGTAACCGATGTTAGCTTTAAACGCAACTCATCCCTAGTAAAAGCTATGTAACAGACAACTAACCCGTTATTGCCTTCGGCTGAGTGAGCTTATACAAACGGGACGTATCGTGGCTAAGTTATATGACTGCGCAGATTCAGGTAGAACTTACAACGAACCAAAAGCAGCACTAACTGCAAGAAACTTCACTGCGATGTGCGGGCTGGCCCGTCGAGCCGATTGGGGCCACAGGAATGGTGCCAATTCCCCGGTAGGGAACATCACGGAGGAGACACGACATTCGTTCGCTTGCCAGTGTGAAAGATCGATCACACATCGCGCACCCTTTGTACCATAGAGCCTTCTCGAGATTCGGCTTCTGTTCATAGCACGGACTACAGCCAGTACATTGTCATTACAAGCGGCATTTGTCGATACCACGGTATTGCTAACTCAGTGTACCGCGTGATGTATCTAGAAGCTACCTATACCCGTTCACATAACTGCGGTAGTGACGGCACAAGACGCCGCTTTTACCCTCTGTGTTATAACCAATCAGGAAGGCTATGACTGCCAGAGTAGCTACACGCAAACAGACAGATAGATCCCTGACCATATGCTCCTTTATGATGGTTCTGACTCAGCTCAGAGAACAAAAAAAAAAAAAAAAAAAAAAAATATAAGAATCGAGAAGACGAGAACGAAAAGCGACGAAGATCGGAGAACAGTGAGGTGATGGATCGCCCTAAGGCTGTTTCTGATGCCACTGCGGCTGCTCGTACTTAATGGGGGCTTCCAGTGTAGTCATGCCCGACATCGTCAGTATACTATATAATATATTGAACAGCGGACAAGATGACGACTCGAGGTTCCCGAGATGATCTTGTAGTTAGCAGCGGCTAACGACGCGATTGGATTAAATGAGGCCAGAACAACGAGTATGTAGTATCTGTTGGATAACGTAGAATCGATGGGTGGTGCGTTGTCGTTCTAGACAGCTATGAGAATGATTAACCAATGCGAGACTGTACAAGCAGTCGATCGACTTTCTTAGACTAATAAGAAAATTCAGCGTAATCAGCTTCGACCAGGATGATCAGGAGGTGTTCTGCTAGGAGAAGTTTAAAAGCCTTGAATTTAATAATGTATTGTGATGATCTATTGGCAGCGATGATGGCATTGGACACATGGTGCAGTTCCAACCATGCCTTCGTACGCTAAATGCCGTTAAACGAAAGGGAGCTCTCTCCTAGACACCTAAGGAACATATAAACACCTTCTAACTTCTAGTTCTTAGCACTGGTCGTCATGGCAATGTGTCTATGTCCATTTCGTGAACAATCGAACATTTGTGTTCGAAAAAGCGCATATACATGCACACACTTAAAGATAGATACTCGAACGGGTTAAACGACTTCAGTTGGTGAGCTGAGCGAGGAATACCTTAGCCTACTCAAGAGCCTTCAACTGAGGGCCTTAGCAGTTGCAAGCAGCTCTCTAGGTTTGTTGATGTCTTGAAATAAACAGCGAATTGCAGCCGACGTCCGATCAGCTTTCCGCCGCTCTAATCTTATTAGTACGATAATTTTTTATGGATGCCCAACGGCAAAGTTCAATTTTTCACATTGTAGTCCAGCAGAACAGTTCTAGCCTAACACGTTCGCACAAATTTCTACTAGGCTAGTTCGCATGAGGTTCAAAGTGAATTCAATAGAAAAAAAATCGATGTTCTTTTTTTATCTACTTCACTTCACATAATTCTTTGCTGCCCGAGAGTTGATCAGACGTACGACCTTTGCTAGGCTGGACGCGAAGATCCTCATAGGAAATAGTCCATGATTAACTGAAATTTGATCTGACTGATGCTTGAGGAGCAGCTGTCGTAGGAAGGCTATCGTGTGGGTTACGACTCCTTATGTAGACCGAAAATGTTCTTCACCGAATACAGTAACCATAGGACGCGACTCGACGTGAACTTCAAATTAGACTGCGCGGCTTGGGCGGGTCTGAGGGCGGTTAGCAGACGATATATAACCCATTTGTCGTATGTCTATGTTTATGGAGATCTTCTCTGACCGAAGCCTGGTGTCGCTGCATAGATTTCAGTCACTGGGCGATGAGCGTTATTCCGCCGTTAGCAACGAAACAATGAGCTCGTCCCGTATATCTTACACAACAACAGATGGTTCATGGCCATTGTCGCTACTGGCTCGAAGGGACGAACCAGTTAAGTTGGTAATTTATGAGCCGAGGAAAATCATTCTTACTGCAGAGCTGATTGGGTGTTGTGTGGTAATACCCTGGTTCAGTAGCAACTAAGTAAGTACCAGTGTCTGTAATGCTTTGCAGTACTGCTTCGCCGATGCGCGCAAAATCAACGCAGGGTCAGAGTTTCTCTAACATGCGGTTATCACCGTAGTAACATCAACAACGGGACTAGCTGCACCCTTTAGGCGTTTATGATTGTAAGGGGTTATGTCACCTCCTTGTCTTCGCCGTGGCGATCCCGACTTCGCCTCAAGTAACCCTACCTGAAAAGGGGATGTAGATTCTTATTATTAGAACTTTATTGCCTTGAGAACCAAACAATATCTATGCAGTATTATAATAGTCTTAGCTTAAATACGACGGCGAACCGTTGAAGATAGATGGATTCACTTATTTCGTTCAAACGGCTGGTAAGTTCCCAACTTTATTCTCGATCAGCCAGTGGCAGCAAGCTGCTGGCCTATCGGAGTGCGGCAGCTAACTGATCTTCTGAGTTTAAGTGTGCACATGTGTGCATCTTTGTAGATCTAAGCAAATATGCGCTCGAGAATGATTCATTACGCTGTGAACTTGTCGCCGCTATATTATTATAGCTAAGATTTGAAACATGATCGTGCAAAATCGATATCCGCTCAATGTTGGCTTAACTGACGGAACTACAATGGTCTCGCCGACTTCCTCCCACACACTGACCGCAATCTCCGACAGCATTGCTCTCATCCACCAGTCTTGGCTGATCCGAGCGTCATATCCGATCATTGATCAGAAATCTGCTACTATTTCTACACTAGTTATCGACTAGATTAGGATGCCTGACCGCCTCCAATCGGAATCTACGGATGCCAATGATCCCGGTAAAAGGACCGTTAGTTCAGTGCGATAACTGGCTGCATGGTGGTTCCGGTCTGCGGCTGTTGACCGATTCACTGTTTGGCCGTCGGTCGCCATGATCTCTCCGAAGTCAGTGGAGCTAGCGCTCCGGAACCTCCGCCCTCGTACCGCCGAATGGACACGTGAATTTCTCGTGACAACATACAAGCGGCGAACAGAACTGCGGCCGGCTCAGTCTAGTAGCACTTGAATACCTCTCTTGATAGAGTAGTCATGGCCGCCGCTGCCACAGCAAATCAAAACATCGGCAATAGCTGAAACAAACCCAACGCACCGAGTCCCCTAGTTGACACGAATCATATCCGAACTGATTACAAGACCGACACACGATGAAGACCAGGCGGCCAGCCATGCGGGCAATACCATGGTCTGATTGGGTTGAAAAGCTACACGGTCCATTTTGTCTCACTTTAGCTACTTGATTATTAGAGAAACCACGAAGCATGACTGCTTCGTATAGCGCCTTGTCATATAGCGAGAAGCTGATGAAACTATTTTTCGCATCATATGCGCCAGACAGAATTTCGTCGACATCTCGTACAATATCTCGTGCATGCCGCTAGCCAATCGACAGCTCATCGGCGTAACGCGTCGATATCAGAGTAGCCGGTTCAGGCGATCTTCTTTGCCTAACACCTAGCGAACGCAGCTAGAACTGACAAAAAACTGGGCACATATGGCAATGTACGACGTACATCGAAATTAAGTAAGGTTATCACAAGTATCAGTAAATGCTAGCGCAGGCTATTCCCATCCCCCGTTGAAATTATGAGTGACGTTCGAGATGACCACTGACCGGTTGGTCGGCTATGGATCGGCTAATCTCTCCCGAATAAATACTGATGCTTCTATATCCTTTAAACTAATATTGCCGATAGATCTGAGCAGCTAAAGGACCCAGGATATCTGATCGGTACCGGCATCGGCTTGCAGTTATAGCACGACCTTGCGAATGATTTCACGCTGTTCATGCTGAGGCCTAGCTATCCACCTTTGGTTGCTTGCTCTCCGCATTCACCAACTGATCCAAATGACTCGTAGCTAGCAAGCGTTGCTGGTACTTGGCGACCTACCAGATTAGAGCTATAGCACTTATGCGAAATGTCCACAGAAAAAGTATAGCGGTGCAGAACGCCGATGTACGGCCTTAAATTTGCTTGGCAGCAAAGTTGAGTAACGGATGAGCCATATTTCATATGGTAATCGGTCTCGTCTTTGCTGCTACCGCTGGGCAAAATGGCCATATGGACGAGATGGACAACTACGTCCGATAAAGCGATGAAATCAAATACCAGAGTCAATAGAGAGTTTAGATAAGACTCCCGTTAGTCCATCCCAAGTGGTCTTGCTACATGACATCCAACGGGTTGGTGAATCGTTCTCGTTACGGGGTCCTGTGATTCGTCTCTACCTTAAGATTTAGCACTGTTGGCAGGTTTCGAAAATTTATTTGATTTTCTAGAGTTGGGTGCGTCGTCGGACAGTGGGTCACAATGTGCTCACAGGAGACTAAATAGGCTGTCGTCCCACTATCTTACTCAATTTGTTGGGTCCGGCTGAGGACGAGCTCAACGGGCCGAATGGTCAGTCGTCAAGAAAACGACAGAGGAGTGATTTTTCTCGTCCTACTTTTAATACTGTCGCTACAATTTAGCGAGCCATTACCGAAGGCGCGGGTGTCAGCCCTTGAAAGGATGGCGGTGTCCGGTGGGGGGGGGGGGTGACGGCGAGAACGTGAATTTATTGCTTGTCTATCTAGCGCCAATACCCCCAGAATAGCTTAAAGCCAATAGTTCTGAGTAAGCGCCTTTGCATTGCCGAAGGGGTTCACGAGGCAATATTGACATGAATGGAGGTCCAGGTAAGAAAACTGCAAATTTGTCTACTGAAGAAGGAGAAGGCGTAAATGTAGGCTAACCCGATATCGACATCAGTAAGCCACTGCATAGAAAAGTTTCACCGGACATAGCTTTGTCTGCAGCGTGTGATAAATTGCTGTTAATTTGTTAGGCAGTTTGATCCCATTGTCCAGTCGGACCAAGGCGTACCGTATATATTGTTTCTAGCGCTACAATGTAGATGAAAAAAAGTCGTATCCAAGCTATCTTTTACGGACCACGGCTAGTAATATATAGAATAGATATAGAAAGATGCATGTATATGCTACAGTTTGTCAAGCATTAGTAAAAACATTATTATACTTATTGCTAAACAATGGATTATATATAATCTTTTCAAAAGTGATAGCAACCTATTATTGGAATGTTGCAGTACTGGATATCTTCTCACCATAAAACCGTTACCTTCAAAGGAAGTAGGAAGCCATAAGCCTGTTCAGGCTATCTAATGACGACACCTGAATAGGTAGTTAAGTAAATAGCAAAGTTCTATCACAATGTAATATATCCAATCTCAGTATTGATTCCTGACAAATGATGCATAACAGGTAAGTTATTACACCGAGGTTAATAACATGGCACTGCCAGTTTAGTCAAACATCTACATGACGAATCTCAAATAGGGCGGAACATCCATCCTCAGCAACATGCCCCAGGCTCAGTGGAGCCGCTTCGAAACCAGCAAGCAACGTTATCGATATGGTCTAAACTTTGTCCTCTGTGTAACTTCAACAATTCAAAAATTCGCGTGAAAACTTAGCTATGCTGTTATATTCAGATGGGCCTCTGAAAATACTGAAAAAAGCATGCAGCGTGCACGACGGCACGAGCTGATTTACTTTAATAAACAAAGTGTCACCCGGTGCAAGTTATTGCCTGGAGAACAAATGAATTTTCATGTAGACCGTGATTGCACAATGGTCATAGTTGCGTTCGCTTTCGGTCCACAACTTGCTTACGAGCATATCGACACAGGATTACTTAGACACCTATCGAAATTTGTAGCATTTTGATAAAAGGTATTACGAAAACTCTGTTCGGGTAACCCAATTGACACGGTTCTTGCTCTATTGATAACACCTTTCACTTCAACGAGAAGTTGTCGATGTTATTGTCACTTCTTGCTGTTATTAGAGGCGGTTCTCGGGCGATGGCTGGCGACACTCAGCTCTGATGTGTGTGGTCGCTATAGCAGAAATAACAGAGCTATACTGATTGGACACCTACGAAGCATTGTGCAGCGTACACACATATGAATAGACCGAGTTACAGCCGTCGGCCATCTTAGGCCGATATTGTTTCTTGTACAGTATAGTACTGCCACCGTCGGTCGGTTGTTCGAAACGACGAAGGCGGGTGTACAGATCCAGCATTGCGCGAGAAAGTGAGCTCGGAAGCGATTTCATCCGGCGACGATGAGCCAATGGCGCGTCGAGTAAAAAGTTTATTGGATGAACACTGTGGTACGTATATCTATAATTTGATCGCATAGAGATATATGCGATGGCTTCTAGCGGTCGATAGATTGCCAGCCTATCTTTAGTCCATGCTATGTAGGGCTCAGTAGACGCTGGTAGGTGACCCCGTTGAGAGGAGAAGTAACACCTATCAGCATCGCTCATTCCGGGAACGCGGTGACCGACAGAAGCTTGGCTGTTTTTCTTCCTGCCTTCTATGTACGACTGTATGGATATGTATGAATACGAGAGAAGGAATAGGTATGATGAGAACCTCACCTCTATCGAAACCGATTCAAGCCCAGACGACGCCTACAACTTCAAACGACTCCGACTAGTATCGCCTACACGTTCGGTGAGCCTTGCAGATCGTTCAAAAAGCTAAAGATCATTGACAGCGAACTAAAGAAAAAAGACAACGAGACATAGAGGCAGAAACAGAAAACTCCAGTATTCATAGATGCGTTCGAGTTTGACTCAGATTATGCAGTGGCCAGTATCGACGAGCTCTGAGCAGTTTGTGGCTGTTCGGTGTTCAAGGTAGTGGCAGCGAACCGGCAGCTACTAGACGCACCCCGATGTCCGCTGAACATGTAGTCCGAAAGCTACCGTCTAGCTCTTTGGCCGGTAAATTGGTTCGTTTAATTAAGATCAACCGCTGATGATACCTACTGAGTAGCGCGATTTCCCGACGGTGGCGATTCCGCGCCACGCCTCTCGCTAGAGCAAGGAGGTGTGAGATCGACGAACTCACGCGATTGCGGTCGGCGCTACGATCACTGCGAGGGCGGAGTGCGGTTTCCGGCACGAAGAAGATACGACGATGGAGACAGAGAGAGAGAATCAGTTCAGCGGAACTAACGCGGCCTTTTTACATTGCGTTGGTTGACTTGAGGCAGCCAGCTGTGCGGGCAATGGTTCGAGTATTTGAGGGGTAGGCTTTTATTTGAAGATATCATTTCGTGAAGGTTTCTCTGCTCTCAAACTGTACGTCTAGGGCCGCAGCTTCTAGCAGCGTTAATGGTGTTGATACGTCTTGTCGGTGAATTGCATCTTCGTCTCAGGTTGATAACGTGCGCAAACCTGGACCCACGAGTCGCTTGATCTTTTCCGCCTGCACGATACATCTGTAATAGATACGCTTGCTTAGGTTGGGGCTCGATTATCGAGATCGAGGGTCAGAAGGAAAAAAGAAACCGCATAATATAGTGCCTGTGATATTCTCGCTAAAGACATCGTTTCTGACGATGAAAAGGGGCGAAGCAGTGTTCCGCTTTGATGTGCCGCTATGCATCGACTACCTAGAGGTGCTACGATCAGGATGAAAACATATCGACGAATATCGCAAGAAGATGATAATCCTTCGGGTCTGTTCACGTTTGCTCTACCATACATGCATATACTTGACAAAGAACTCGAAGCAAGACTTCTTTAGGATACAAAACCTAAGGCAAGACGTCTATCTCATTGAGTACTAACATAGCTTGCTACGCAACCTGTAAAGGCAATGTGAAACTAAATTACGATAGTGTTATCCAGTAAGACAAGGTGTTATTTGCGAATTAATTAACTGTTTTTTTTCTTCGAAGGACATCACAGGACTAGACAACTAGGCCCTATTTAAAAAAAAGAATCTCGATTCGAATATGTCCATGCTGTAGGTGATAACATAATCAATTGTTTCGCCGGTTGCTTTGGCTTTATTTGAACATCTTAGCTAATTTATATATATATATGTTGTTATATATAAATTAGCTAAGTGTTATATATACGCGTTGTATTAGTGGTCTGCGATTGCCGATGCAGCTGTTGCAGCTCCCTTTAGAAGATTCTACTCGCTGTTCCGGCAAGATGCTCTAGACGATACGGTTGCACAGGCCAACTTTGACTTATTTATTGAAGTCAATTTCGATATGGAGCAATTTGTTTATACCAATTTGTCCTTCTTTTCGATCCGATTGTCATTGGTGGCGCCACCCACATAATTGCAGTTTTCTAGTTCGCAGGCTGGCTCGACTGCTGCCCACAACGACCCGCACGGGCGAGTCTGCAAACAGCAATTGACACCAGTTAAAATACCAAAAAAACCCAGCAGTTAACAAAAGAAAATGGGCTCTGAAATCATTAGTCACTATGTTTTCAGTTGTTACGAAATTTGTCGTTACGAACGAGCGCTTACGCGCCTTGCTGTTTGTTTCTGCCGTCCCCAAAAAGCAGAGACATCATCTCGGAGAGATCTCAGCGAGCGAAAACGGATCAGTTCCCTCGGTGTTCATCTGGAGAGTGAGCGAGAGAGATCTGCATCTCGCTAGATCACTTCCTGGTACCGATGACCTAGATCCTTCTACCCTGAAGATCTGACTGTGCCGTGTGCACTGCTGTTATGTCTGACCGATCGAAAACTCTCAGAAGCTTCCCCAAAACGAATTTTTGCCAGCACTAACCTATTGTCGACCGCTGTAGCAGCGGCGGCAAGAATGAATCCTCTCTAGAAAAGATAATACGATATAGTCAGCAGTCTCATTCTGTACATACAGTCAACTATAGGCAATACGGTCTCGCGTACTCGAGATACATACAGCCTAATAGTCGGAGATAGGTATACTTCAACTACAACGGATCGAATTCGACCGATGCCTGGCATCGTTTCTGCAGCACTGCCGTTACCGGCATTACTACTCAGGCAGCAGCCCTAGCTTTTCGCTCGGTTGCATAACAGCTTCCGGTATATCCACTGGCAAAGGCAGTCATGCCTTTAAGCCTGTCGAGATCCTTCCAGTGCCCTGCGATGCCAACAACTTCTCGCCAGAACCAGCAGCCTACCCCCCCCCCCCCCCCCCTGTTAAAAGCAAGCTCAATTTTGGCGCCGGGTTAGGACCTCCCCGATTGACGCCACTCGACCATGTAATCTTGAACTTTAAAATCCTTTTCTCTTTAGCTGCCGGTTGCGAGCGAGAGAGCTAGTTCACCCCCGCAAAAAACAACTATTCGAGGATATAGCTGCTTCTAGATGGTTGGTGGATGGATATAGCGGGATCTTGCT